ATTAGTTTTTAGTTTTACATAAGTTTTACAATTAGTTTACATAATATTATTGTATAAAATATTTTTTTTAGACAATCATTTTATTTTACTTTTTTTAAAATTTTCAGATCTTTAAATGGTTAGGTATAGAAAAAAAAAAACAGACAGAGTTGCTATATCAAGTGATACAATAAAATCAGCTGTTAATAAAGTTTTAGAGGGCAGACCAGTGAATGTTGTAGCTCGCAAGTTTAGCATAAATCGAATGACCTTAAAAAGATATTGTAATAAAAAGAAGCTCAACCCAAATGATTCTTTTAAGCCTAATTACAACAATAAACAAGTTTTTACTGCAGAAGATGAAAAAAGTTTGTCAAGTTATTTACTACTTGCATCAAAAATGAACTATGGACTTTCAACTAAGTCAACACGATTATTGGCATACGAGTTTGCTGTAAAAAATAATAAGATTTGCCCTTCATCATGGATCAAGAATAAAATTGCAGGGATTGATTGGTTGCAAGGTTTTATGAAAAGATAACCAGAGTTGTCTTTACGAACACCTGAAGCAACTAGCTTTGCTCGATCAACTGCTTTTAACCGACACACTGTTGGAGAATTTTTCCAAAATCTAAAAACAGTAAGAAACCAATATAAGTTTGATCCTTATTGCATATATAATGTTGATGAAACTGGTTTAACAACAGTAAAAAGCCAGTAAAAGTCTTAGCAGGTAAAAGAAGTAAACAAGTAGGAAAAATCACATCTGCAGAACGAGGAACATTAGTAACTGTATGTTGTGCTTCAAATGCAATTGGAAACTCTATTCCTTCACTATTTGCTTTTCCTAGGGTCAAATTTCATAATTACATGATAAAGGAAGGTCCTCTGGATGCGTGGGATTTGCAAATCCTTCTGGTTGGATGAATTCAGACATTTTTATAGAATGGATAAGACATTTTGCGAGGTATTCAAACTGTTCTCATGAATCTTCAGTTTTGTTACTTCTGGACAGCCATAAAAGTCATATTTCTGTTAGAGCTTTGGATCTTGCAATTCAACATGGAGTTACAATGCTAAGGTTTCCTCCCCATTGTACCCATAAATTGCAACCATTGAATAGAACTTTTTTGGACCATTTAAAAGGTTTTACAATGCTGCGTGTGATAATTGGATGGTCACAAATCCAAGACTTATGACCATTTATGATATTGTTTCAATAGTTCGCGAACCATATACAAAAGCTTTCTCACCATCTAATATACAGAGAGGATTTTAAGTTGCTGGCATCGAGCCATTTAATCCAGAAATTTTTAAAGATGATGAATATTTACCATAATCAGTTACAGATTGTGCTGCTCCAAATGTAGTAAACACAATTCTTGTGGAACCTGAAATGACTGTAGCGCATGTTGATGGCATGGAGCCTGAAATGCCTGTAGTACATCATGAAACAAGTTTTCGAACAAAGTGTCACCAAGCATTGCTTCATTACTCTCACCTGAAGTTTTGAATCCTTACCCGAAAGCATCTGCTAGAAAAAGAAGTGTTAAAAGTAGGAAACTAAAAACAAGGATTTTGACTGATACTCCAATCAGAAATGAAATTCGTTTGCAGAAGAAAAGAAAACCTTAAAACAAATCAACCAACAAAAGAAACTCATCGCAAAAGAAAAAAAAAGGGGAAAAGTTAAAAACTACTTGCTTAGGAACAAAAAACAATATAATGTAAAAGCAGCATCACGACTTGACTTTGACAAAGGATGATAGTATAAAAAAATAATCTTGTAAACTTTAGTTCTAATAAAAGTCTTGTACGAATCTTGTATTTTCTTTGTAAACTTAAAATACTGTATTCTTATAGACTTTATAAGCTTCAAGTTTTGTAAAACTTAACACATATATATGTTAGTAGTATATAACGGGCTTATTTTCATAGATAGAATTGTGGTTATTCTTCTAATGTAAACCTTATACACTGGTGTGTATTAGGTTGTAATGATATGTATATATATATATATATATATATATATATATATATATATATATATATATATATATATATATATATATATATATATATATATATTTATGTTTTAAATTTTACTTAGATTTTTTTTTATGTTTTAAAATTTACTTAGATTTTTTTTTAGATGTATTATATATATAATATACACTAATACCCTTCAACTAATGCATTTGTATCACTTAGGTATAGCAGTATTAAACATGTAAATTATTCATATAAGATCAAAGCGCCCCATATCGGAGATCATAGTACTCCATTGCATACATTGATCTTTTGCAAGGGTTGTTGTAATGTTGAAATATACCACGTTCATTAAGGTTTTTTATTAAAACATTTATTTTTACTTAAAGACATATTGTTCTAGTTTAGTTTATTAATTAATAAGTTTTTATATCTAGATCGGGTTGTTTGCAGATTTCAAAATGCTGCAACGGCGATCAATGCGCCCCCATCTCCCCTACACAAAAATGGCATTTTTTAATAAGTCAAAACTAAATGTTTCTATGCATTGTTTTTTAGACAAAAATGGATTGGATTTTAGCTAACATATTTTTTTTATGAAAAATTCGTGATGATATTATTTTCACAACGCAAAAAAATTTATAGCGGTTTAATTAGATTATAGCCGCTAATTATTGCATATAAATTTACTGATTCTTGTTATCACCACATAAGGTTGATTTAAAAAATACAAAGCAACTTTAACTTCACTGTATACATCTAAGAATTCTTTAAGCATGCTCATATTACCAAGGTTCTCAAATTACCCTAATCTACCCTACATAACTGCATACTATTTAAAACTCCCATGTGTGCTATGGAATGAACTTTTGGAATCTGATGATTGTTACACTTTAAATTGGTATTAGATTCTTGCGTTGCAACTTTTGTTTTATCCATTTTGTTAGTACTTGTGAGTTCATCAGCAATATTTTTAGTAGTTGGCACACATGTAACATTTACATTTACGTAACCAAATGAATACACTATGAGAATTAGTTTTAATAGAGAAATCACTCTGGTTCCATTTCAACCAGTGCCGGTTTAACCAACGGACACACTGGACACGTGCCGGGAGGCCACAGAGTTCAAAGGGCCAGAGCATCTAAGTGAATTTTTGAGAGATATATAATTTGAAATAAAACTTATTATCGGCCTCTATCCTTGACTTCCTCTCATATCCCAGAGATTTTTAATCTTTGCAATAGCAGTGCAAACGACGTATCGCAACCCGGACGTTTTTTTTTTTAACGACTTGAAAGAACTTCCAAGTTCGAACATAATGGTGAAAAAAAAAATTAAAAAAAAGAATATAATATTTAAGAATATAATGGCGAAAAAAGAGATTTAAAACAGTTGGATATTTTATTTTTTGTTTATTCCCAGAGGATTATAATTCCGCGGATCAGACGAAAAGCTAGGATCGATACGCAGCGAAACCTTTATTTGATATATTTTGCGGAATAATAATTCCAAAACAATTTTGCAAACTTATTCAAATGAATTTTACTTATTATTCTTAGTAGTTGCTAATGATATACGTGTCTTTTAATGTATTAATTATTAAATCTTTTTGTATATGTTTGTATTTATTTCTCTGAATACCTAAAATTGCAATATAGTTATTGCAATATTTCTTTGTAATTGTAAAAATAATTGACTTTCTTATTATTTTTTATTATATTAATTTTATAATTTTAATAGATTTAACTCTTTTTGGATATTTTATAATTTGAAATAATAATATTTTATTATATTAAGGGGCTCTATGAAAAGGTAGAAGTAATTTTGCATCATCCATATCTTCTTTGGGTCCCCGTCTGTTTTTAAAATATTTTATTTATTAATGTAAAACTCATCGTTATTTTACTTTAAGAGTGAAATATAAAATGAAATAAAAGCTATTAGTAAAATTTGATCCTTTCCTTATCTTAGTCATTTGCGAATTTACTTATCTAAGACTTTTGCGAAGAACTCATACAATTAATAGCCACCGAGGTAATAGAATTTATAGGTAATATAATAATCCTTAAGTAACATGTTATAGTATAATTTTTTATTTATTTTAAACATAAATTCTTAGTTAGCGAAATCAAATATGCGAAATATATCTCATTCATCGTTGATTCTATTCCTAATGTATACACAACGGAAAACCAGTTGAGCGGTTCTTAGCATTCATTACCATGAATAATTTTTTTGTAGTTTCCATTAAGCTATTACGATATTCATAAAAGTCGATATTGTCGATACTACGATATTACATAAACACAGTATCGAACTTCGATATTGAAACTGGATATATTTTTACTGAATTTCGAACTTATCGATATTCAGTTCGATATTTTACGATATTATACGATATTAAACGAGATTCTAGAATTTTAGAATGCTATTTTTGTGTTCAAGACCCATTTTTTCTAATTAGAGGAATTTGAAGGGTCTAATACCGTAAGTTATCTTCAATATTTGAAATATGTTTTAGCAATTTGGAAAAAAAATTATAGCTCAATTAATTGTTTATTTTTTCATAAACAGTTTTACAAAACAAAAATTAGTCTATCGCGTCAGCTGATGAAACATTTTCTTCCTCGATTAGCCATTTTTTAATAGTAACTTTACTAATGTTGATTTTAACGTACACAAGTTTTTCTATTGTCTCGGCATTTAGTAAAGTTCTTTTACATGACACAATATTTCCGGCTTGAAAACACACGCTCTGAAGAAGTTGATGACGCTGGGACACACAAGACTTTCTTAGCAGCTCTAGACAAAATTGGAAGTTGAGGTGAATGAATTTTCCACCATTCCAAAATATTGTAATTTTTATCTGGAAATCCAAGCCTCTAGTAAGCTTCTAGTTCTATATCAAATGGAGAATCTTTTGATGATCTGTAAAGCTCAGAGGCATTAGAATCCTGACCCATCATTTCAAAAAGAAGTTGTTCGACAGGAGACAAATCTTGTTTGGGTGACACTGTTTGTGTTGTATTTTAAATCAAATTTGATGGTTGCTTTACTATTGAAATTTCTTTTAAATCTCTGAGTGCGACATCGTCTTGGCCAAACCTTGTCAAAAGGAGGCCTTTAAATTTGGGATCAAGTAAGTGAGCTAAAGCATTGTTTTTTTGTCTTGAACCACAGTCTGGAAATCGTTTGTTAAGATTTGAAAGGAGTTTAGAAACAAAGTCTCCTGTAATTTTGTCATTTGGCAGTATAAGCTTTTTAATATTCTCTTGAATATCAAACAGTCCTGGAACAACTCTCTGAGAAGTTGGGATTTTTTCAGATGAAACAACCTCTGTAAAATCATTAAACAGTTTCATGATCGGCACTACTTTTTCAATAACATCAAACTCATCAGAAGATGGAATTAAAGCCCTTAAAATGTCGTCCGTTTTAAGGTTGCTGCTTGCAATTATTTCAAGAGCTAATCGTAAATGTAATATTGAATCCATGCACATAAAACCACTATTCCAACGTGTAGGACAAGGAGAAATAATTTTATTAAATTTGATTTTCTCAGGTATGACATCATTACATGCTTCCATAATTCTCTGTTGACTGTTGATTGATTTGTGAGTTCGTGGTGAGAGTGTTTTGCGCACCTTGAAATAAAAAATTATTTTGGTTAAAAAAAATATATAAACAAAAAAAAACATAGGATTTGAAAGTTATTCATTTGTTGGTTGCACCTTTATGCAGGTAAATGGTATTGATGCATTCTTTAAAATTTTTTACTATTGAGAAAATAGTCTATCGCATTTTTCATAGTTTCGTAAACAAGAGGAGAAAATGACTAAACATTTTTTTTACCTGAAAAACTTTTTCAATCTCATCGACTTCTTTGACAGATTTGATAATAACAAGGTGAAGTAAATGTGCAATGCAGGAAATACTTTCATCAATTTTGGCCGATTTTTTCATCCCAGATATCATGTTTGCTGCACTATCTGTGACAGAAGTCATTTTACAACCATTATTGAAAGGTAGAACAGAAATTAATGTGTCTGTTTTAATTGAAATATTGTCACCTGTGTGGCTGTCTGGAAAAGCATTACAGCCCAGCAAAAATGTCTTTAGTTCAAAGCCAGTTGTAATATAATGAAGCGTCAAGGCTGCAAATGACTCATTGCTTTTGCTGGACCAAAGATCTGAAGTAAATCCAACTGCATCTACATCTTTTAAGTCATGTGTTAAAACATTAAGAACTGCCTCAAAAACATTAGAATAAAGGATTGGAAGTTTGTTTCTTGAATATGTTAATGGTGCTCTAATAATAATTTCTGGACGAAGGCTTAATAAAAAGTCTTTAAAAGCAGGTGATGAAACATGTTGAAAAGCTAAATTTCCCATGCACAAATATTTCACAATATCCAAGTCAGCTATTAACTGTCGCTTGTCGTTTGTTCCATATTTTGTCACAACCTTGCAATAAGATGAAATGTCCATCTTTACTCTTTTTGCACTTAGAGCTATTGGCCCATGAGTGTCCAAAATTGATTCTTGTGCAAGCTGCTCAGCTGTTGTTTCTGGTGCTCGTTTTAAATTTTCTTTCCCAATGATGAGAAAGATTTCATTATGACAACCTCTGATGTGAACCTTCAAACCAGTCGTAGTGCTCTGTTTGGTGCCTATTTGTGTTGGGCATAGCTTACACTGAGCAATATCTTTTTTTGGTGTGTCTCTTAAAAAATACGCCCAAAAGGGACTTACTCTTGGCATTTTCAACAAAAAATATCACAACTTTTCTCACTTATAACTTTTATTAGTAACTAATTTTGAAAAAAATATTTATAAGGTTATATCAAAAGTATTTGAGTATTGAACAAAAATTAAGACATCAATTTTTGGTAAAGCTACAGTTAAGCGGCCTAAAATAAATTTACTGTTTCGCTTTTTGCGCTCTCGTTCGTAGAGACTTTAAAATATTAACAAAATATAAAAGCAAAGAAGATTTATTTTATTCTTATAAGAGCTAAGTAAATTTATTGTTTAGAAATAAGTTGTTTGCGGAATTTAATGTTTTATGCTTTATTTTATATATTGTTTTCTTATTATTTTTTATATATTATTTGCTATTATTTTTTTTTAATTTTATTACTATTATATTATATTTTATTTATAAAAATATATTTATTATTATAATATCAAAACTTTGATTATAATTTACCTTGATTATAATTTAATTTGATTATAACTTGATTATAATTATTATATTTAATAATTAAACTTTGATTATAATTTACTTATAATTTACTTTGATTATAATTTATATTGACTTTGATTATAATTATTATTTATTTACCTTCAACTTTAATATAAAACTTCAACTTTTAATTAAATCTTTTAATTTTAAATTCACAACCCGTAACATTTATTATTGCATAACATAATTAAGTTTCGCTTTAAAAATACGCTCCATCGTGTTTTTAAAAAGCGAAAAAATATAATTATTTTAGGCCGCTTAACAGTAGCTTTACCCAATTTTTAATTTACACTTAATTTTTAGCATTTTTAATTACTTTTCAGTTTGGCGGGAAAGTTTAGCTGGGAAATTTTAGGAGGGACAGTTTAGAGTATAACAGTTGATTTTTATTAAAGTTTGAATATTAGTATCGATATTTTAGTTTGAATATCGAGAATCTTTCGATATTGCTGTGAAAGGATATCGAATAATATTGAAACTTCGATATTATTAAAAAAATTACAATATCGACAATTCAATATCGAACCTGGTCAAAATGTCGATATTTTAGCATGTTTCGATACTACGATACTGATATCGCAATACTTTAGTTTCCATGCTTAAAATTGTTTTGAAAAGTTAGATCAATGCGATCTACACGCGTTATGCGATTTACACGCGTTATGCAATTAAGATTCAAAATTGCCATGACCAGTCATACGACAATGCCAGTAATATGTCTGGAATCTACTTTGGTTTACAAGCAAGAATTAAAGAGATCAACGTTCTTGCCAAATACATTCCGTGTACTGCTCACTATTTAAACCTCGTTAGAGTGAGTGCCGCGGAATTCAACTGCTGTTAATTTCATAAGCTTTCTTCAAGATTTTTATAACTTCTTTTCTGCATCAACGCATCGTTGTCTTAAAGTCAAATTTCCTTGCTCTATAATACGTGTTAATGTTTTTTAGACTCTTACAAACTCGTTGGTCAGTTCGTGCTGATAGTTATTTAGCTATTGAAAAGGGTTATTCTATTTACAAGATAATTAAGAATTATTTAAAAAATCAAATAAAAACATATTTTATTTGTGATTGTGCATACTTATTAACAAATGTTTTCTATATAGACTCTTCTTGATCTTAACGACGATCAAAAAGCAAAACCAAGAGCAGAGGTATTCGGACTTTTGACCAAAATAGTTTAAAGTTAACAAGAAATTGTTAACTTTGTTAACAGTTTCTTGTTAATTTTGTTGAACCTTTCCATGATTCTATTCCGAATTATTATAAAAATAACTGTCTCAAGCTGTTTTTTCAACAGTTTGTAAAGCTTGATTTAGGTATGGTTGAAGAACTGTACAACTCCCTGGAGTATTACACGCAGAAAGTTTGCTCCAATTTCGAGCAAAATGAAAAGAAAGCCGTGTTTTTGGTTAATACGGATAAACATATCTATGTTTAAAGGCTCCAAAGAGCATGCAAGAGACATTACGATGATGAAATTAACAGTGTGGAAACTACAGTGCTTTCTGGAAGATCTTAAATGATTACCGACGTTAATGAGATCACAAACAAACTAATGAGTGATCTAGATAAAAGAAAGAAAACCTATTCTGGATTGAAATCTCTGTTTGATTTTCTTGTGAATCTCCGCAGCATGAATATCATGGAGATTACTTGCAGTGTACAAAACCTTGTAGGCCGATATCCTACTGATCTTAACTTTCACTTATTGTCTTCATTTTGGAGCTTATTTCAAGAACATTTTTCAGATCTTTCTATTGCTCGACCTAAAAGATATCAACATTTGCAAGTTTATCTACATTTGCAAGCTTATCTACATTGCAATCATATCTACATTTGCAAGCCTAAAATGCAGACGAAAGGTGTTATAAAACCTATACTAATCGCAGCGTGTTTTTAATAATAAATAACGCAAGATGCTTGTTTAAATACAAAGGAAAATACATTATAAAGCCATAGCGCAACAAATACAAATTTTAATTTTAAATTGCTGTTAAATTTGATTACTAGGTGGCCAACAGGGGCCAGAAGTCCTAAAGTGCCGGTAGCCCAAGAAGTACTTAACCCGACCCTGATTTCAATACCATATTCAAACCTTTAATACACGCATTTAATTCAGCTACATTGATATACAATGCATCAGACACATCTTTTTTTTTTTGGTCACCTTGCATAATCACAACTGTTTTTGTCAGCGAACTTGCATTACATCATACAGTTGGAGATGCATTTGGTTTAACGTTACATCATACACCTATACTATAACATTTCACTATACAGCTATTGCCGGATCGCATTTTTAGACTTTAACTACAGCATTATTTTAGTAACATATATAATTCAAAATAAGCTTAACTCATTCTATTTGGCTTGTAGATCTTTTTATATAGCTGCATGCAAGCCTCTAGCCTCCAGCAACTGGTAGATTAGCAACCACATTATCGCATAATGAGAATATATACCTTTTGGTATTCACAGTTTTAATAATAGGAATCTTTGCATCTTCTTATCCAAAACTTTCTTTTGTTAAAAGATCTACTGTGACTTCCAATCCTTATACATAAACTTTTGCCAAAATATTTAAGTATTTTTACGTGTAAACTCCATTATTTTTATATGCGCTATCAGCTTTCTTCCATTTCCATTGGTTGTTAGGTTATCATAAATGTATCCTCTTGTTGATTTTGCAAGGACAAAATCTTGTTGCAGAACATATCGCAGGGTTGAGCTTATCACCACAGGTACTTAATTCAAATCAAATCCTAAATAAGTAAGCACGTATCGCTGATTTTTATAAATGACAATTTGGTAAGGCCAATGCCTTTTATGCATATAAATTTGTAGGTATGCTTGTTGAGGTCCACCGAGTAATTGCTATATTTACTCAAGAGCCTAAAATGCCTTATTGCGTCGTTTATGACATTTTAATCTCTTGTGGACGCTTTTACAAACATGTTAAACTTGCGATAATCAAACATATCCCTTATCTTCTTTTTATTATCTTAATATATTATCTTAAGATATTTGGCTTTTCACATAATTTCATTGTCATATTTAATGAGTATGCCTTCTTTGATACAATCTTTGTGCAATCGACCGCTCTTTTTAGCGAATTTTCTTTATTTCACGCAAGTTTTGCATAAAAATGGAGCATGATCTATATCTTTATACATATTATATTATTATACCCAGTAGAGATGAGTATTCCAAGACAAGTCCTTGCGACAACTCTTTAATCTGCAAATCGATCAATGTTCTGGTCAACATCCATAACTTTTGCCCGCGAGGTTTTAATGCTTAACAATGCTAAACCGTTAAGACGTTCTTGACCCATCGAATTAAAAAGATAATTTTTTATGAACTTAAGTTTTGAAAATGATCTTTCTGCTGTAGCTGTGACTGGCAATGTCAAAAATATAATCAAAGCAGTTTCCACGTCAAGATATGAAAATGAAATGGGGGTGTAATGCACAATTAGTAAGTTTGCCAATTGATTAACTGATATATTTTTATTATTTAACTGTTCATTGACATTCGGAAAGACAGTAACTGAAGCGGAAACTCTCGTTAGAAATAGTCGGGATATTTTTCCTGTAATGACTTTCCAGCTTTGATAATGTTGTTGTCATCCTCACCGAGAAGAGTTGATAGAAACATTACCGAAAAACTGCTTACAATATCATGCATTGCTAGGAATTTATTTTTCAATTGTGTGTTCACAATATATAACACACGGTTAAAAATAGTAACTCGAAATTTGTCTTCTAGGTCAGTCAATCTCAGATCATCGCTTAACTCATTAAAATGTCGCTTTACTTTTAGAACCCTTTTGTCTTTAAATTTTACTTCAACACCACCACATGCTAGCAACTGCATCTATTTTAGTTTCCTCGAAATTCAGTCTGTACTTTGTAGTCGTCTCCAATGCATTTCCAAGATGTTGTGAGGCAATAAATAAATTTGTGTTCTTTTTTTGTAGATATTTAGAGGCTACATCAATTACACCAAATATTTTAGAAAACAAAACGAGCAGAAAAACAAAATCAAAATTTTCAATGGATTTTCTAAGTCTTAAAGATTCATCCTTTTCTTCTTTTTTTGAGCAATGTTAGATTATTAGAAGTCAATAGCTTTAAGGTGTTGAAATAGCTAACTTTCATACCAAGCAAGCTTTGTGCTCGTCCAGCTCATTGAGTCGGGTTTAGTTTTTTTAATGTTACTGTTGATTCTTTAGTTACACTGCTAAACATATCCTATCTGTTAATGCTGATCCCAAAAAATTTATATACATTTTGTATAATAGTGAAAAAACCATTAACTTTATAACTCCATTAACAGCATCGTTTATAACGTGGTTAAGGTTATGTGCAGCGCAATGAAAATATACCGCAGATGGTTGTTCATCAATAATACATTTTTGAAAACATGGCATTTCGAAATAACATATTTATTAATTTTTTTACAAAATCGGAAAAGGTTCCTTTGGTCTACATGATCCATGTGCAACAATA